CCTGCTTGAAGGAGATGAAAATATTATGCATCTGAAGCTGTAATTAAATATTGAGAAACAGTGTGTATTATATGCTTATAATTGTTTTAATTGCGGCTTACTCATTTATGAGAAGGAACCAAGTAGAGGACACATACGCAGTTACTTTTTTGGTTGATATAATCCTTAGGTGTGTAAATGTATAATTGCCTTTTCATTATTTGTTTCAGTTTTATTTAAATTTGTAGTTAAAATAACTAAAAATAAATGTATTTTAAAGTTTAGAATTAGACAGCCTTTGCAAACAGGCTTACGCTGGTAACTCATCAGTGGACTTTCCTCGTCAGTATAGGCTATATATTTTTCACACTTTTCTCATACCCCTGGTTTAAACGCTCAATTGTGAGGTTTATCATTTTATAATTTATTTTGTTTTTGTGAAAACCTGTATCTCAACTGTAAATCAGTTGCTATTTTGTGGTCTACAACATGAAAGAAAGCCATTATAACATGTACATGAAAAATGTAGAAACATTGGACAGCAAGCATCACAACAAAAAAGGAACCTCAAGGTTGATCTAGGAAAATGTGTGCAAATGTATAGGGCCCCATTACTATATTTTACTGTTTCACCCCAATTCACTAAATCCGCCCCTGGTCCATGGAGCCTTTTCATTGCGGAAAAGGTTCTTTACTGGAGGAAAGAGATTAGATTATTCTTTATATTATTAAAGTGATAGTTCACCCAAAAATGAGAATTCTGTCATTAATTACTCACCCTCATGTCGTTCCAAACCCGAAAGACCTTCATTCATCTTCGGAACACAGATCTTTTTAAAGAAAATATATTTTTGATGAAATCCGGAAGTTTTCTGACCCTGCATAGACAGCAACGCAACTGACACATTCAAGGCCCAGAAAGGTAGTAAGGACATCGTTAAAATAGTCCATGTGACATCAGTGGTTCAACCATAATTTTATGAACCTACAAGAATATTTTTGCACAAAGAAAATAAAAATAAATAACCACTTTATTCAACTATTTCTTCTTTTCCGAGTCGTTCTTCGACGCACATTTACTACTTTTCTGGGCGTTGAATGTGGCTGATGTCTATGGAGGGTCAGAAATCTCTCGGATTTAATCAGAAGTATCTTAATCTGTGTTCTGAAGATAAAATGATTCTTCCATTGCATCGGTATTAACATCCATGGAACCTTTCCACTGAACAAAAGGCCCTTCATAAGGGAAAACGTTTCTTTAATTTATTAAAATGTTCTTCACTCACATGTTCTTCACAGTGGTTTTAAGAAAGTTCTTTGGGGAACCAAAGATGGTTCTTCTCTGGCATCACTTTTGGAACCTTAATTTTTAAGAGTGTAGAACCTTTCCATTGCACAAAAATTTCTTTATAATGGAAAGATTATTAAACTGCTCCTTACACCTTAAGAAAAATGTTTTGAGAAGAACTGTTCGCTGAAAGGTTCTTTTGGTAACCAAAAATGGTTTTACTAAACCTTTTGAAACCTTTATTTTTTTAGTAGTGAATGGGAAATGCAGGTTTGAATCTGGCCTACATTATTTTGTCCCCAAAATATAGCTAGTTGGGGAAGTCGTGGCCTAATGGTTAGAGAGTCGAACCCCCAACTGCTCCCCGGGCGCTGCAGCAAAAAATGGCTGCCCACTGCTCCGGGTGTGTGTTCACGGTGTGTTTGTGTTCACTGCTGTGTGTGTGTACTTTGGATGGGATAAATGCAGAGCACTAATTCCGAGTATGGGTTGCCATACTTGGCCACATGTCACGTCACTTTGTAGTTCTTGTTAGCTAGTTGAGCTATAGTAAGAACTAGTTTGCAAATTTTTCACGTCGTCGAAGCTCCGGGACTCGCTCTCTCCTCTGAGAACCACGTAAACTTGTGCGAAAAGTGGCATGTTTCCAGGGCAGACGGAGAATTGTTCTAAACAGGCTCTTTTAAAACAAACACAGAGCAGCAATTCTGCTGATTTTGTGTGTGTTTACAAATTATTAGCGGACAGTGAATTAATCATAATAAAGTCTGTTACAATAAAGAAGGATTAATATGTATTTAATTTATACTAGGGCTGTGCGATATTGAAAAAAAATGTGATACGCGATACCTTGTTAAAAACTGCGGTTTGTGTGTGTTTACAAATTATTAGCGGACAGTGAAACAGTCTGTGTCGACTGATTTACAGTTTGAGAAAACATAAACACGATGATTGAATGGAAACAGTCCCCTGTTTGCTTGAGTTTAAACAGAGAATGATGTCGAAAAGTCCCGTTTTATCCTCCCTCAACCCCCCTGGAGCTCCGTTACGTGCGTGTCCCTCAACACTGGATTATAAGGCATATTTTTTCTCCTAACTTAAAGATTATCGCAGATGTGCGCTGCGAAGCTTGAGCTATTATTTCCACGCCCTTGTGTGTGACACCAACATCGCCCTGTTTACTCAGATTAGAGGATACAGACAGATGAGCATGTTCATCTCTCTCATCCTGCATGTAGCTGATATTATCTTTTCATCTCTCTCTCGTCGTGAACCGAAGATGTGCCGATATAGGCTGCACATAATCACTCCGCTAATGTCTTTTTTTTTTT